TTTATTAATTACTTTACTTCACCTTTGTAACTCTTCCCCTGCTGCATGTTTAACCCTCTATTACACGTGGGGAAGCGGGGGGAAGTCTAGGAATTGATGAATGACTTGAAAATGTATTTCCATGCATTCTTGCTCTCCCCAGATTTCTAAAATGATAGATTCTGTAGTTGGAAAATAGAATTATATCTATAAATTTGTAGGATAAGTTTGTAGGGAATCTCTTCTGTAGGAGATTTCTGTGTCTTGAAAGTGTGGCTTACAGGTACCTGCTGCAAATTCAGTAATCCTTGTTTATGCAATGTTTCTCTTTTGTGTAAAATGTTGTTACTAAAGTTTCACAATTATTATTTTTATGCAGTGGGCAGATCAAGCTGGCAGACTTCGGTCTTGCCCGACTTTACAGTTCAGAAGAAAGGTAAGATGTTTAAGAGGAGCATGGGCATGATTTTACACATAATATATCTGGATGGATTGCTGTACAAACCCTATTGAATTCAATTGCAAACAAACATATAGGAGTTATCTTTGTTGTCTCTCTTTTTGAGTCAGTAATGTTAATGAGGGAGCTGATTGCATGGTCTTTGCCTGTTTTTTGGCTGCTAATTATTTTGAACTTTAGATACCCGATAATAAAAGCAATGATTTTTCTAATTCTGTTTATAAAATAGCAGAGAGAAAGCATTGACCTATCTTTTTTTAATCAATTAAAATATCCTCCTTGAACACCTGATATATGATGATTTTCTGTAGAGAGGGGATGAGATCAGAGACAGTTTATTTCTTGTTGTCTCTGTAACTGCATCTTGATCACTTTTCATTATGAATGCTTGAGGCTGGACTTGAGAATAACTTTAAATGAAATTTGTAGTGGCTTAAAAATGCTGCTTAAATAATTAATAGTCATTCTGTTGATTGTACCATCTAATATATTTCTGTTTACATTGATTCTTACCGAATTATTGAACCTAAATGTTTTTTATAATTGTTTTTTCACTTAGCCGTCCATATACCAATAAAGTCATTACATTATGGTATCGACCACCAGAATTGCTGCTAGGCGAGGAGCGTTACACACCAGCAATAGATGTCTGGAGCTGTGGGTAAGCCAGTGACNAGACCCTTCACCGCCGGAGTCTCCAGAACCAAAGGCAGTCACACCACCTCAGCAATCATTAAGAAAGAGACCAAAGTAAGAACTAAATATACTTTTATTTAATGGATTTGTTCAAAGTACTTTATTTCTTTAGGATAACATTGAGGATTGGCAAAAACAAATGAATTGGGTAGTTAATAGATCTAGCCAAATCACCTTTTCATCTTGTACCATGGCAAAGCTAATATAACTTCATTCGCATGACTCTAGATTTAATTTTGATTAGTACTGGTAAATAACACTTGTATTTCCAATTGAAATACAATCCATTTTGAAATGGATAGAAATGGAAACTTAGGGAATCTTAAAATTCAGATTCAGTTTATAGTGCAAGGAAGATAAAATTTGATCCTCAGCTTGATATCCATGTTGTCGGGTAGCCAGTGTATCCGACAACATCTCCCTTAGAATCTGTCCGACATAATTTTTATCTAGTTTTTATTTTATAGCCTGTAATTTAAAATAAAATAAGAGTTAAGCATATTGCAAAGCACCACTTTCAAATATGATTGGTATTTCTATTAATGTATTTCACATAACTCTTAGAAATATTCTTGAAAATAAAATGGCATATGAATTTAGCTAGAGCTTTGTTTCTAAGTATACCTCCCCAGGAGAAAAAAAATGAAAACCAAGATAAACCAAGTGTCCTGTTTGGATGAAAAACTGGCTTATTTTTAGCATTATGGAAGCATTTTGAACTCTTTTGAATTCAAAAACAGTGTGAAAATGCTGAAAACAATACTTTTACTGAGACAAAATAGAATTGAGAACTCTCTTTTTTAGAGTATTTCAGGAACTCTGTCATTATTAAATAAAGAATAATACAGTCTGTAAATTTTATATGAAAATTGCAGTTGGATTTTGTTTTTACGCACTGTTAACCATCCTCTAGAAACCATTTTGTGCTGAGACAGGTAACCCCTTCCACCCAGCCATTTTGCGATAATACCCAAGGATGCACTGATCAATATGCAGGTATCAGGAAAAGAGAAGTCAAAAGCTAAGTACTTGAGTGACTACACATGTGTATTAATCTTACATGTGTATCTACCTTAAAGATGAAAATGTTTAATGAATATTGTTCTTATGTCGAGAGCAGAAAACTAGAATTATGTAGTTATTAATATTCTTTCAGCTATTGCTTTATAGAGAAAATTTCTGAAATAGATATTTAATTTATAAATATATAATTTTTAAAGAATTTTGATTATGATAAAATCTAATATAAACTAAACTTAAAGTAAGATAACAAAATAAAAGAAGTAAAAGGTGCAAGAAAAAAGACAACCGGAAAAGTAAGAATAAAGAAAAATATATAAAGAAATGACTTCCAACTTTCATAATAGATCTAGCTTTGTCATTTGTATTTCTGTTTTAAATGTTAAAACCCCAGCAAGTTATTAATGTAGGTAGAGTGAAACATCCTTTTCTAGGTCATTTTCTTTACCTGTCAGATGTAAATCCATTTTTGATTCCATCTGTTTTGCCAGATAAAATTTATTTTTTACATTTGTCATTTCTTCATAATATCTTTTGAACAGAATCTATCCAGAGAAGCAGACCTCATTATTGATATTGTTGATAGTGTGCTACTATTTTCAGATTCCATTCTTCAAAAGTCTCGAATATTTTTTACTACTATAAGATTTTGCATCGTTTTACAGACTTGTAATTCTGTTTTACCTAAAAAATTAGCCATCTTTTTAAAGTGTATCATTAAATCTTCAAATGATTTTGTGATATTATACCTGCTTATGTTTCTTTTCCTCCAGAGAAGTTAGCTGATAAAATCATTATTATATTTCATTAATAAACAATGTGAAAAATTAAAAAAACTATCTAACCAAAAATATATCAGTGATAATTCATTAAAGGAATTACATATATTGCAGTAATTTAAAAAATAGGGATGAAAAAGAAAAAATGTAGGAAAACAGAAAAAATAAGACCTAATATAATCATAATTTATATCATAATATAAAATTAATTCAATTCTTAAATTTATTATTAAATCCATGGGATATTAGTTTGTCATTTTTAGAGTATAACTACATTTCAAAAATTGATAAAGACCACATATATGACTTCCACTTCTTAACATCTTTCCATTTACATGAAATAATTCCATATATGTCTAGGTGATAATTATCCATATATCTGGTGCAGTGATTAGAATGAAGTACTGCAGGCTACTTCTGCTGATTGACTGCAATTTGGCAATTCAAATCTCACCAGACTCAAGATTGATTCAGCCTTCCATCCTTCTGAGGTGGATAAAGTGAGGATCCAAATAGTTGGGGGCGATATGCTGACTCTGTAAACTGCTTAGAGAAGGCTGTAAAGCAGTATATTAATCTTAAATGCTAAGTACTATTGCTATCTATATAATTATCCGTAATAGAGTCTTGCATTTAATTGAGCCAGAATTCTTCATAAAATATCAAACTCCATAATTAGAATAATCTCATCATCACATACCTTTAACATGTATATTTTCTTAGGAATATAAAACATAAAATGTCTTCAAATTTTTTACAACATAGGGTGAGAAATCTGAACTCAGTGACACCTTGGCAATACCATTTCTCAAATATACTGAACTGTGATGTGTTTTTTTATTTTGGTTTAGCAAATTATGTGCACCATTGAGGTTTATAAACTATGGTTAGTATTTAATCATGAATAAATCTAACCAATTGTGGTTTATTTAATAAATTGTTAAATAAGCCATTATTCCTGTCTGAACCTGGAATATACAGTTTCATACTTAATGTAATACTACCTGGAAAACTTAAGTATAATCTTTTTTTCAATTGTTAAGAAATAGGGTAGCTTGTATTCATAATAGGTATCACATGTGTTAGGTATCACAGCATTTCTGATATACAATACACACACACACACATACATACACACATACACACACAGATCTGAGTAGGATGATCAGAAAATATTTTTGAAAGAGTTTTGTCTTAGAATTACACATTTTAACGATTATTCTGTTTGCTTCCCACCCACCCCACACTCACATCCCCCCCACTGCCCCATATCTCTTCCAGAATCTGTTGCCCTCGTTATGGTGAGAGGAGACAGACAGAAAGTGATTGGGGAAAGCGCTGTGTGGACAAATTTGATATTATTGGTATTATTGGTGAGGGAACATATGGGCAAGTGTACAAAGCCAAGGACAAGGATACAGGTGAGTTTAAAAACATGGATTATTTTTAATTTTCTTTTTCTGAGCATATATATGTATGTGTGTGCTTGTATGTATATATATACACACTACATACATATACATACATACATGTTGTAACCCAGGTCGCCTAGGAGACAGACTACAATAGGGTCTTTCATTGCTCTGTTAAATTCCACAACATAAAATGGCTAGTAATGCTCCACACTACATTTCCCTGAAGGCAGCCACCCAGTCCAACAAACAAAAGCCAGTAAGCAACAAAACCAATTTGGAAAGGCAGAGAGGAAGTCCAAAGACTAGGTGCAAGGTCACAGGGCAAGGGCAAGGCAAAAAGGCAAAAGGCAAGACACAAGCTGAAACGAGACAAGGCTGAGTTTTTCCCCAAAGCTGGAGAATCTCCCCTGGCTTCTCCTTAAGTCAACCTATGTTAGGCATTCCTTGTGAGAAGGGGTAGAATGACCTTCTTCAAAGCAGCCTCTTAGGCCTCCTTTGAGCTTGCTTCTGTTCTGCTCTCTGTGTCGCCAGATTGAGTGTGGGAGGCAGCTATTCTTCATCAGAAGGGATCTGCTGACTCTGAACACCACTTTCTGTAGCCAATCCTCCCCCAGGTCTGTGTGGTCAGACAGCTCTCTGTCTGGTTGGCCACCTCCCCAATGCCTGGGGGGCCTGGGACAGCATTGTCCTCAGCCCCTGGCCTCTCCAAACATTGCAAAGAATGACATTATGCCATCCCTGTCAGACGGTCCTGGTTCCATCTCCCTTGCCTCCTCCGAATAACAACATACACACAGACACCACAAACACATATATGCGAGGAGAGAGAGTTATAGTTATTTATTGACAGATATTATAAGATCTTTTATTATTTTTGTATAAAAGTGTGACTTCTGTTTATAAAGGAACAAGTGATTTATCTATACAGTTAGTCCTTGACTTACAACCAAAATGTGTCATGTGATCTTCATTTGTAACTTTCCCAGTTGTCTTCGACACACAGAATTAATGTGGGAAGCCAAATTTTGTTTTTGTTGCAATTGTAGGTCAAGGCACCAGATGGTTAGATTTTAACTGTTTTTATGCTACAATAATAATTAAATAATAAATTGCCAATAAATTTTATAAGTAAAAAATGCAAGTCATCATATTATTAAATAAATCACTTCGTCTTTAAGCAAAATGAGGCATCTTTTTTGCTGGGAACTGACAAAAATGTGGTCACAAATTGTGGTCGTGTGATCATACGATTGGTCATAAGTACAAGCAATTGCTAAGTGCCTGAACTATCATGTGACCCAGGGGTGGGTTCCAGCTGCTGCTACTGCCAGTTCACTCAGGTACCCATCATACACACGTGCTTGATGCGTGCTATGCACGCATGCACAGTGAAACAAAAATTGCTCTGCACATGCGCAGAAGGCAAAAACAAGATGGCAGCGCCTGCTGCCCCACCAAGAAAACCAGTTCGGGTGTGTGGCAGGCCTGGGTCGCTAAGTTACTACTGGTTTGGCCGAACCAGTCCGAACTGGTAGGAACCCACCTCTGACATGACCACAGGGGATGTGTGTGTGTGGCTGTCATAGTTTTGAGGACAAGTTGTAAGTAAAAAAAAAATTCAAGTCTGTTTCAACTGAATGGTCATTAAACGGTTGGTCCTAATTCGCAGACCACTTGTGTTAGCATTGTCTACTCAGATAAATGACAAACAGGAACATGTTTAAGGAGGATCCTATTTTTTGTTTATCTTGTTTTGTTTGACCATTATTACTTTTATAATTTGCTGTGTTCTGTATTTCGCAGGTGAATTGGTAGCTTTGAAAAAAGTAAGGCTGGACAATGAAAAAGAAGGCTTCCCTATTACAGCTATCCGTGAAATCAAGATTCTCAGACAATTGATTCATCGGAG